AGCCATCTTTGTACTTCTGTTCCAGGCTTGCTCGGCCCCCTATTTTTGATTTGTAAGACTTCTTACTCATTGAGATCACTGTCCTCTATACCAATAAAGGTAGGAGCCTAACTGCCCTAATCTTCACGCGTCGATGAAGAACAAGCTGCTGTTACTTTGGGTCGGTGGCTTCACTGATGGAATAGGTTCTTTTGTAACAGCCTGATAGTGGCCTTGTTACATTACTCCCCTCTATTGTAGACTCGTATTGAGTCCACTGTAGTGTTACTGGAATATTAGGATTTGGCATAGAAGAAAAACTGTAGCTCTATTGGTGATTACGTATAAACTACATCTCTGTTTCTATCTCCATCAGAGCAAGAAAACTCTAACATGAAATGCCTTTTAAAAACAAAGAAAATGACATATTCTCCACTCTTGTCGTAGAACCTTCCGTTCCATTAGTGGAGATTTCGATGTTAGCAAGAATCTCTCTTTTTCCCTTGTCTTTTTTACGCGGGTTTCCTCATGCTTCGGTTTTCTATCGTTTCTTGCATTGTTATCAGTAAAAAATTGTATCCGAACTCTGTGAGACCGATGAAAAACCTGGTACAGGAGAGTTGGTTTTTGTTCCCGGATTTCTTCTGGGATACAGAGCTATTTACGCCGTGTTTTGAGGATCCCCAGAGTTTCACCGTATTTTCCGAGGTTTTTGTGGGTATTTTTAATGAAATTCTTTCATGGCCTCGTCGGCACTTCCTTGCAGAATTTTGTATGGTTCTCAGGAGTCTTCCGAACGATAACCCTCCCAAACAATGCGATACTCTACAAACATTTTCTAATGCCCAGCCTGTTGCCATCAGCTATTAGCTGTTTCTTGGAGAGCGTAACTGTATTCTCCTTCGACCTCATCTGGAGTAGGAGAGACTTCAGTGCGTTGAGGGTATCTCAGTCCCTGATAGGACTCCAGCAGAAATATTTGGAAGACATCATGAATGTTCCATTGAGAGGGAAGCTTCAGACTGTAGAACGCAACAACAAGTTTCTCATCAACCTCAAAGAGACATAGTTTCTTGTAGTCAAGCTTGCTTGAGGGTCGATCGGCAATCATATCGCGTCGGTCCATCATCACCTTATACACATCTTTAGGTTCTGGAGCTTCCATATGCTTCTGGTCATACCATTTCTTCTGCCGGGCCTGTGCCTGAAAAATATCAGTCCTCATAGTTTTCCAAAGAGCTTTCCACTTGAACTTTAGTACGGTACTAGAAACATTGGCATTGTCCAGCTTCCTTCTGCGCGAATGCCAATCGGAATCAGGCTCGAACCCATAGTTCGCGTAGAACTGAGATACTTTAGTGGACTATTGGGTTGCCGTTTTGTAGGCGTACTGTGCAAGCGGCAGTAACCCTGCCCAATCGTCCTACTGGTAGGACCAAAAGTTTCTGAAATATTGTTCTAGCGTTTGATTGACCCTCTCAGTTTACCTCTCAGCTTGAGGACGATATGCCGTAGACAGACAAAGGTTGACTCCGAGAACCTTGATCAATGAATGCCAGAACTTGCTTTCGAATCTGAAGTCCCGATCAGAAATGATTACTTCGGATAGTCCATGTAGTCGCCATATTTCTTGAAGGAATATATGCGAAAGTTCCTTGATTGTTGCCTCGGTCTTGAGCGGTATGAAGTAGGTGATTTTTGTAAAGCGTTCAACAATAACCCCGATACGGGTATAGGCTTCAGATTCTGGCAAACTAACGAAAAAGTCCATCGAGATGGAGCTGCAAGGAGTATTGGGGACCTCTAAATATGGTAGTATCCTGTGCTTTTCATGACTGGAGCTTTTATTGCTTTGACATGTATCGCAACTCCATACGTATTCTCCCATATCATTGTCCATCTTTGGGCAAAAGAACAGTCCCCGAAGATGCTCTGCAGTTTTGAATTGACCCATGTGGCTTGTGGGCTTCGAATCATGTAGGGCGCTCATGATTTTTGGTTTGAGCTCTCGGTGATTTGGGATGTAGCATCTTTTCTTCTAAAAGACATTACCGTGTCTCAAAGTTAGGTTTCGGTTTACTGTCTTACCGAAGGTGTGATCCACAGCCTCCTCCGAGGAGAATTACTTAGGGTCTGAAGCTGAATGAGGCCGGATTTTGTCCAGAAGCACCGGTGTGAGTTTGCAGACCTGAGGTGACTTTGGGCGTTAAGATTTGATCGTAACGGTTGGTGGTTGTACAGAAACCATTCTGCTAGGGCAACTTAGGACAGGATTGTTCGGTTGGGCGAGAACCGTACCCGTACAATTCCCGATTCCGTTGCTATCCGTTGGCCAAAACGAATAGAATCCATCAGCATCGTCAGGTATGTGGGTAAAAGGCAACATGATTTTGATATCTGGAGCGGAGGTAGTGGGTGGGGGCTGTTGAGTGTTAGCTCGGGTAACCTAGTGCTAGGGGTAGATAGGGTTAACTGGGATGACAGCCCAAATAAGGGTTACAGGGCAAATCAGGGTTAACTAGGGTTAACTAGGGTTAGCTAGGGTTAACTAGGGTTACGGGCCGAACTAGGTTAACTAGGGCTAGCTAGGGTTAACTAGGGCTAGCTAGGGTTAACTAGGGTTACGGTCCGAACTAGGGTTAACTAGGGTTACGGGCCGAACTAGGGTTAACTAGGGTTAACTAGAGTTAAGGGCCGAACTAGGGTTAACTAGGGTTACGGGCCGAACTAGGGTTATGGGCCGAACTCTAGTAGTCGAATGTCGGACAGGATTTTGAGGTTGCCCGGGAACCGTCGCCCCACAATTCCGGGCTCCGTGGCTATGGGTCGAACAGGACGACCCGAGTCCATTCCCATCATCAGGTATGCGCGTACAGGGGGTCGTGGTCGTGATTGCGGGGGCGGAGGTGGTGGTTGGGGGCTGTTGAGTAGGGTAACTCACTCTAGTAGTGGAATGTCGGACAGGATTTTGAGGTTGCCCGGGAACCGTCGCCCCACAATTTCGGGCTCCATGACTATGGGTCGAACAGGACGACCCGAATCCATTTCCATCATCAGGTATGCGCGTACAGGGGGTCGTGGTCGTGATTGCGGGGGCGGAGGTGGTAGTTGGGGGCTGTTGAGTAGGGTAACTCACTGTGAGTCTTGGCAACCCGTCCTGGTTCACTCCATCACCGACACTCACAACAATCGACAACTGCACCGTACCGAGCGTGCCTTCTCTATCCTACAATCATGACGGCGTTCAAAACTGAATCATGCCGTGTTTCCCCATCTTGTGGTTCGATGAAATACACCAATGTCGGATTCTGAACCCCGGGTTACCGTATTGGGCGAATACCACTTCGACGCTCGTAACCCTAACCGCCAACAGCCAGGTACAAACCACCACCAAATACAGATTTATGTATTTCATTTCTGCCGAAAATTCTATTTTGCACACCTAACCGAAACAGCTAGCAGCGTTCGTAACCCTAACCGCCAACAGCCAGGTTTAAACCATCTCGTAATACAGATTCATGCATTTCATTTTGACCGAAAACTGTATTCTCTAAACCTAACCAAAATCCCACTTCAACGCTCGTAACCCTAACTACCCACATCCAGGTTCCAACCACCACCAAATACACATTCGTTTCATTTTGACCGAACATTGTATTTTGTACACGTGAGCAAACCAACTTTCAACGCTCGTAACCATAACCACCAACAGCCAGGTTTAAACCACCTCGTAATACAGATTCATGCATTTCATTTTGACCGAAAACTGTATTCTCTAACCCTAACCAAAATCCCACTTCAACGCTCGTAACCCTAACTACCCACATCCAGGTTCCAACCACCACCAAATACACATTCAAGTGTTTCATTTTGACCGAGGATTGTATGTTGTACACGTAACCAATTCAGATTTGAACGCTCGTAACCCTAACTACCCATATCCAGGTTTTAACCACCACCAAATACAAATTGTATTTCATTTTGACCGAACATTGTATTTTGTACATGTAACCAATTCAGATTTGAACGCTCGTAACCCTAACTACCCACATCCAGGTTTTAACCACCACCAAATACACATTGATTTGTTACATTTTGACCAAAAATTGAATTTTGTACCAATAGAATAACAACGACCTGAAGAAAAATAGATAGAAAAGTGTCACTTCAGTATTCTGTCCTACATTCTAATTCCGATACGTAACCATGAAGGTTGCAATTACCAGTCTTCGGGTTATATAGGATTATTGTTCTAGACACTACTGAGCAATATTGAATCGCTGGATAGATATGCATGTCTACTAGGACAATATGTAAAGCAAACACTAATGGTGAAATTGGTTACTACTGTTTGTGATAGCTTGAGAGGTATAATATCAATCGAAACAGAAACTGCATCACAGTTTGAAATTGAGATTTGTTGGTATGGTTTGCTATGATTCGATTTGTATGCACACTTGTTGTGACAGAATGTAAATCAGGAATACTAAACAAGATTTGTGAGAATTTTTGGCAATCGCTTGATACGTATGCATACAAATCGGAATGGCAAGTAAAGTGCATACCGATAAGAAAAACTTTCTGTATCATGGTTGAATACTAAATAGGAGTCGATACCTGTCAGGAAAATATTCGAATCAGTAATTAGCAGTGAACTTGGTTGATATCATTAATAATTGGTTCATACTTACTAAAGGTACGCCACCTCGCGACCCTGAGGTCCCCTTCTCTCCCACCTATGTGTAGTATCTAGGCACCTCCAGCAATTAGTTAATTTTGTGTTTGCCGTCTCATGTTCTGTTTTCCCGGCCATGTCACATAAATGCCTAAATCTTGTTCTGGAGATCAATTTCCGATTTTCAATGCCAGGTCCAGTGCCAGCTCTAATGCCCACTCCGGTGCGAGCTAAAATCAAGGTCAACCCCAGTGTCAGCTTCGGTCTCGACTCAAATATATTCCAGCTCTAGCCGGAGCCGCCCGAATGCCATCTCTAATGCCCACTCCAGTGCCAGCTCCATTAGATGCCGGCTCCAGTGCCAGCTCAGATACATGCCAGCTCCAGTGCCCGCTTCTTTGCAAGCTCCAGTGCCCGCTTCTCTGCAAGCTCCAGTGCCCGCTTCGCTTCCAGCTCCAGTACCAGCTCTGATGCCGCTCCGGTGGCAGCTCCGGTACCCGCTCCAGTACCCGCTCTGGTGCCAGCTCCGGTGCCAGCTCTAACCCTCACTCCTGTGCCCGCTCTTGTGCCCACCCCTGTTCCCGCTCATGTTCCTGCTCGTCTTCCCGCTCTTGTGTCCGCTCCGGTGACCGCTCGAGTGACTACTCCGGCGTTCGCCTCGATGCCAGCACCTGTGCCAGCTCCAATGCCAGCTCCAGTGTCAGCTCTGATATATTCCAGCTCCCTTCACTATTCCTCCACCACACTGGCACCTCCTCTTCCGCTCTTACTGGTCTTCCCTCTCCCTCTTCGCACTCCCCGCCAACTACTGTTCGTCTCTCTCGCCTATTCTGCTCATATTTGACTACTAAATAGCTATATTTATTATTTAATCATAAAGGGTTCCGTTGGTTGGGCTGGTCTCATAGGTAAGGTCAGGGTAAGGGTTTGGGCTTGGCAGGAAAATGTGCAGGGTAACGGCCCTGAGCAGGCAGGGTAACGCCCAAAAAAGGTAGGGTAACGCACAAAAAATGTAGGGTTACGCACAAAAAAGGTAGGGTAACGGCTCAGAGCAGGCAGGGCAACCGCACTAATCGGGTAGAGTAACCATCTCAAAATAGGCAGGGTAACAGAACAAAATCGGGCAGGGTAACTGCACCAAACACACGAATTTGATGTGTCGTGCTTACAAAACACCCCTGTCGCTGTCAACCAATCAGATTGTAGCAATCTCAGAAGAATTATATTCCAGTACGTATTAGATACATTCTTATCAGAACAGCAAATTTAACAGTTATTGACAAACAAAACCTTTTGTATTATTTACAATCCTTTGATGAGTATGTATCAGAACAGCGAGTGTATCAGAAATTCAAATTCTCATTTGTTACAATCGTTCATGAAGGTTTGAAAGCTATGAATATTTATTGGCACAGTAAAATACTGAAATTGATACTCAATGTATTTGATGGCTTGATTGGTATACCATGTTCTGGATCAATATTGAATAGATTGAATACTGCACTATGGTTTGCAAAATATCTTCTCCCAAAACACGAGGTTGCGGCTTTCCAATCCATTCGGAAATATATACAATGTATGATCATATTCTGAACTTGAGAGTGAACAATATTCAGCACTTATCTCTAAAACTCATTGTTTTAATTGATAACAGTCTTCATAACATGTATCCTGATATTTTGTATTTTGTAAAAGGGTAGGAATTTGACGATGTCTGCAAGATAACATCTGTTCCACCTCACCTACCTATTAACAGTATGCGCCCAAATTCCCCCAAGCCTTTAGTGTTAGGATTATGAATGCTTTTGATTGAGAATGTCATATTTGAGCTGAGTGGCGATCAGTATAGCACTCAATTGCTTGAACGTTCTCAGTTTAACCCAATTCAGATCCTAAAACCTTGTCCGATTTCATAGATCGATTGAATAATATAGTAGGTTACAAAGGGTCGAATTGATCAGAAAACTTCTATGGATTTCTAGAAGTTTCCGTCGATTTTAAGGGTATGAGTTACTTGAGATTTATGATTGCTAAGCTTTCTTTATGTATATTAAGGGGCTTTGCCCTCGATTCTATTCTTTTTCCCTCTCTTTTCTTCTCTTTCTTTTGGTACGCAAAGGCTTAGGTAAACTACGCTGCATATTGCTATTCAAGTACTACTTTCTCTTCCTTTATAAGGAGGCCATCTCACTTCTCCGACCTTCCCACCGCTAGACCTAAACTACTGTAAGTTTCTCCAACCCCTCTCGCTGATTAACCTACCAGCCCCTATGACCATGTCCCGTACCCTGCGGAATACTCGCTACCCAACTCACTAGGATTACGTTGCGTCGTAATCCGCACCATACGCCATGTCCACCCTCAACCGACCTACATGGGTCTCATCTAACAAAATCGAGTAGTTTAACAATCAATACGAATAGAATACTGCTGCCCTGTTTGACCACCTCCCTACTATCTTTTAAAGCATCCGACACGAGAGGGATAGTGCTCGTACACTGCTCTCCGCCGTCCACAAAACCATTGGCTACCTGGAAGAGCAAGTAATACAGGTCAACCTTGACCTCAATGTTGACCACACCACCTCCGCCCCCAATGTTCCTATCCCCATTTTCGCTGCTACTGCACCAACCACTGTCTCCACCTTTGGGTCTGAAACTTTCCCCGAAAAGTTTGATGGCATCCGGACCAAAATCTCCGGATTCGTTACCCAACTCCGAATGAAGCACGAAGTCAACCATAATCGGTTCCGCAATGGGACAGCAAAGGTTATCCATGCGGTCAGCTGTTTGGAGGGAAGAGCCCTTGATCAGGTAATACAACTTGTTAGCGCCAATCCTGCTGACTTCTTTTCCTCCGTCACCTTCTTTGTCGCCCACATGAAAGGCTCATTTAGAGACCTAAATACCCAAAGTACCATCCACCGCCAACTCGTCCCCCTGAGGCAAGGCAAAGGAGACTTTGCCACCTACTACTCGCAGTTTATCAGAAACATGTCTCACTTGCATTACAATAAAGGGGTCAAGATTGACGAATTGGCGGAAAGATTGTCTGACAACTTTAGAGACGTCATGACCTATCGAACAGACAGACCCAATATGGTGGAAGCATATGCGACCATGTCAGTGACGATCGATAAAAACATGTGACTGAGGTACTACGATGAGGCACAACCGTGATTTGCTTTCGAATAGTGTAAATAAAGAGAGCGAGTTTTGATGATACTCGTTCAGAAAGAAAAAAGGGAGTTTGTATGTTTGAACGTTCTCAAGTCTAGAAAATTATAACTTTAAGGGGTCTTCTCTCTATTAAAGATCCGTTGATGATGAGAGGCCAACCTGTGGCAACACCGAGTCCCTTATAGGAATACGGCGCATTTGCTCAAGTTCTTTTTCCGACTGACAGTCTGCCTATTGATAGTCAGTGGTACAGCAACTATTTTCTATCAGGGGAGAGGAGAGTAACTACGACACCTTGGATGAACTTCTGTCCGAGTCAAATCATTCAATTTGCCGAAATCTGTGGTTGGAATCTCAAGAACTATTGGAAACAGCCGACCAGATAATAGTTGTTTATTCTAACTTTATTAGTACCGATTTGGGTGTTTGTAAACCGAAGTTTTGCTTTAGTAGCTTGAGTCGCACTCCCACTCCCCAAAGCTACTCTGGAGCAAAACAGGAGCATTCCGGCAGTTTGACACTGCGGAGGTTAGTGTTGGGGATTAAAACGTGTTTTTGGAATTAGATTTTCCATTAACTCCGGGACACCGCCAGAATCATTTCTGTCGTGCTAAAGCATGGTCTTTCGGCATCGGTTGGAGATATATGAAACCTGAAAGATTCGACTGCCTAGGTAGGGAACTGCCGTCCGGGGTTCCCTATGCTATCAGCCATCTTTGTACTTCTGTTCCAGGCTTACTCGGCCCCCTATTTTTGATTTGTAATACTTCTTACTCATTGAGATCACTGTCCTCTATACCAATAAAGGTAGGAGCCTAACTGCCCTAATCTTCACGCGTCGATGAAGAACAAGCTGCTGTTACTTTGGGTCGGTGGCTTAACTGATGGAATAGGTTCTCTTGTAACAGCCTGATAGTGGCCTTGTTACATTACTCCCCTCTATTGTAGACTCGTTTTGAGTCCACTGTAGTGTTATTGGAATATTAGTATTTGGCATAAAAGAAAAACTGTAGCTCTATTGGTGATTACGTACAAATTACATCTCTGTTTCTATTTCCATCAGAGAAAGAAAACTCTAACATGAAATGCCTTTTAAAAACAAAGAAAATGACATATTCTCCACTCTTGTCATAGAACCTTTCGTCCCACTAGTGGAGATTTCGAGGTTAGCAAGAATCTCTCTTTTTCCCTTGTCTCTTTTATGCGGGTTTCCTCACGCTTCGGTTTTCTATCGTTTCTTGCATTGTTTTCAGGGAAAAATGGTATCCGAACTCTGTCAGACCGATGAAAAACCTGGTACAGGAGAGTTGGTTTTTGTTCCCGGATTTCTTCTGGGATACAGAGCTACTCACGCCGTGTTTTGAGGATCCATAAAGTTTCCCCGTATTTTCCGATGTTTTTGCGGGTATTTTTGATGAAATACTTTCAGGGCCTCATCGGCTCTTCCTTGCAGAATTTCATATGGTTCCCAGGAGTCTTCCGAACGATAGCCCTCCCAAACAATGCGATACTCTACAAACACTTTCGAATGCCTAGCATATTGCCATCTGCTATTAGCTATTTGTCGGAGAACGTGACTGTATTCTCCTTCGACCTCATCTGGAGTAGGAGGGACTTCAGTGCGTCGAGGCTATTTCAGTCCCAAATAGGACTCCAGCAGAAATATTTGGAAGACGGCATGAATGTTCCATTAAGAGGGAAGCTTCAGCGTGTAGAACGCAACAACAAGTTTCTCATCAACCTCAAAGAGACATAGTTTCTTGTAGTCAAGCTTGCTTGAGGGTCGATTGGCAACCATATTGCGTCGGTCCATCATCACCTTATGCCCATCTTCAGGTTCTGGAGGTTTCATATGCTTCTGGTCATACCATTTCTTCTGCCGGGCCTGTGCCTTAAAAATATCTGTCCTCATAGTTTTCCAAAGAGCTTTCCACTTGAACTTTGGTACGGGACTGGAAACATTGGCATTGTCCAGCTTCCTTCTGCGCGAATGCCAATCGGAATCAGGCTCGAACCCATAGTTCGCGTAGAACTGAGATACTTTAATGGACTATTGGGTTGCCGTTTTGTAGGCGTACTGTGCAAGCGGCAGTAACCCTGCCCAATCGTCCTACTGGTAGGACCAAAAGTTTCTGAAATATTGGTCTAGCGTTTGATTGACCCTCTCAGTTCACCTGTCAGCTTGAGGACGATATGCCGTAGACAGACAAAGGTTGACTCCGAGAAGCTTGATCAATGAATGCCAGAACTTGCTTTCGAATCTGAAGTCCCGATCAGAAATGAATAATTCGGATAGTCCATGTAGTCGGCATATTTCTTGAAGGAATATCTGCGAAAGTTCCTTGATTGTTGCCTCGGTCTTGAGCGGTATGAAGTAGGTGATTTTTGTAAAGCGTTCAACAATAACCCCGATACGGGTATAGGCTTCAGATTCTGGCAAACTAACGAAAAAGTCCATAGAGATGGAGCTGCAAGGAGTATTGGGGACCTCTGAATATGGTAGCATCCTGTACTTTTCATGACTGGAGCTTTTATTGCTTTGACATGTATCGCAACTCCATACGTATTCTCCCATATCATTGTCCATCTTTGGGCAAAAGAACAGTCCCCGAAGATGCTCTGCAGTTTTGAATTGACGCATGTGGCTTGTGGGCTTCGAATCATGTAGGGCGCTCATGATTTTTGGTTTGAGCTCTCGGTGATTTGGGATGTAGCATCTTTTCTTCTAAAAGACATTACCGTGTCTCAAAGTTAGGTTTCGGTTTACTGTCTTACCGAAGGTGTGATCCACAGCCTCCTCCGAGGAGAATTACTTAGGGTCTGAAGCTGAATGAGGCCGGATTTTGTCCAGAAGCACCGGTGTGAGTTTGCAGACCTGAGGTGACTTTGGGCGTTAAGATTTGATCGTAACGGTTGGTGGTTGTACAGAAACCATTCTGCTAGGGCAACTTAGGACAGGATTGTTCGGTTGGGCGAGAACCGTACCCGTACAATTCCCGATTCCGTTGCTATCCGTTGGCCAAAACGAATAGAATCCATCAGCATCGTCAGGTATGTGGGTAAAAGGCAACATGATTGTGATATCTGGAGTGGAGGTAGTGGGTGGGGGCTGTTGAGTGTTAGCTCGGGTGACCTAGTGCTAGGGGTAGATAGGTTAACTGGGATGACAGGCCAAATACGGGTTACAGGCCAAATCAGGGTTAACTAGGGTTAGCTAGGGTTAACTAGGGTTACGGGCCGAACTAGGGTTAACTAGGGTTAACTAGGGTTAACTAGGGTTACGGGCCGAACTAGGGTTAACTAGGGTTAGCTAGGGTTACGGGCCGAACTAGGGTTACTAGGGTTAGCTAGGGTTACGGGCCGAACTAGGGTTAACTAGGGTTAGCTAGGGTTACGGGCCGAACTAGGGTTAACTAGGGTTAACTAGGGTTACGGGCCGAACTAGGGTTAACTAGGGTTAGCTAGGGTTAGCTAGGGTTACGGGCCGAACTAGGGTTAACTAGGGTTAACTCTAGTAGTCGAATGTCGGACAGGATTTTGAGGTTGCCCGGGAACCGTCGCCCCACAATTCCGGGCTCCGTGGCTATGGGTCGAACAGGACGACCCGAGTCCATTCCCATCATCAGGTATGCGCGTACAGGGGGTCGTGGTCGTGATTGCGGGGGCGGAGGTGGGTGGTGGGGCCGTTGAGTAGTAACTCACTGTGAGTCTTGGCGACCCGTCCTGGTTCACTCCATCACCGAGACTCACAACAATCGACAACTGCACCGTACCGAGCGTGCATTCTCTATCCTATAATCATGACAGCGTTCAAACTGAATCATCCCGTGTTCCCCATCTTGCGGTTCGATGAAATACACGCATTTAGGATTCTGAACCCCGGTTACCGCATTGGGCGAATACCACTTCGACGCTCGTAACCCTAACCGCCAACAGCCAGGTACAAACCACCACCAAATACAGATTTATGTATTTCATTTCTGCCGAAAATTCTATTTTGCACACCTAACCGAACCAGATGGCAATGCTCGTAACCCTAACCGCCAACAGCCAGGTTTAAACCACCTCGTAATACAGATTCATGCATTTCATTTTGACCGAAAACCGTATTCTCTAACCCTAACCAAAATCCACTTCAAGGCTCGTAACCCTAACTACCCACATCCAGGTTCCAACCACCACCAATACACATTCAAGTATTTCATTTTGACCGAAGATTGTATTTTGTGCACGTAACCAAACCAACTTTCAACGCTCCTAACCCTAACTACCCACATCCAGGTTTCGACCACCACCAATACACATTGTATTTCATTTTGACCGAGCATTGTATTTGTACATGTAACCAATTCAGATTTGAACGCTCATAACCCTAACTACCCATATTCAGGTTCCAACCACCACCAAATACACATTCAAGTATTTCATTTTGACCGAACATTGTATTTTGTACATGTAAGCAAACCAACTTTCAACGCTCGTAACCCTAACCACCAACAGCCAGGTTTAACCACCTCGTAATACAGATTCATGTATTTCATTTTAACCGAAGATTGTACTTTGTACACTTAACCAAACCAACTTTCAACGCTCGTAACCCTAACCGCCAACAGCCAAGTTTACACCACCTCGTAATACAGATTCATGCATTTCATTTTGACCGAAAACCGTATTCTCTAACCCTAACCAAATCCCACTTCAACGCTCGTAACCCTAACTACCCACATCCAGTTCCAACCACCACCGAATACACATTCGTTTCATTTTGACCGAACATTGTATTTTGTACATGTAAGCAAACCACTTTCAACGCTCGTAACCCTACCGCCAACAGCCAGGTTTAAACCACCTCGTAATACAGATTCATGTATTTCATTTTGACCGAAGATTGTACTTTGTACACATAACCAACTAACTTTCAACGCTCGTAACCCTAACCGTCAACAGCCAAGTTTACACCACCTCGTAATACAGATTCATGCATTTCATTTTGACCGAAGATTGTATTTTGTACACATAACCAAACCAACTTTCAACGCTCGTAACCCTAACCGCCAACAGCCAAGTTTACACCACCTCGTAATACAGATTCATGCATTTCATTTTGACCGAACATTGTATTTTGTACATGTAATCAATTCAGATTTGAACGCTCATAACCCTAACTACCCACATCCAGGTTCCAACCACCACCATACACATTCATGTTTCATTTTGACCGAACATTGTATTTTGTACACGTAAGCAAACCAACTTTCAACGCTCCTAACCCTAACTACCCACATTCAGGTTTCAACCACCACAAAATACACATGTATTTCATTTTGACCGAGCATGTATTTTGTACATGTAACCAATTCAGATTTGAACGCTCATAAACCTAACTACCCATATTCAGGTTCCAACCACCACCAAATACACATTCAAGTATTTCATTTTGACCGAAGATTGTATTTTGTGCACGTAACCAAACCAACTTTCAATGCTCCTAACCCTAACTACCCACATCCAGGTTTCGACCACCACAAATACACTGTATTCATTATGACCGAACATTGTATTTTGTACATGTAACCAATTCAGATTTGAACGCTCGTAACCCTAACTACCCACATCCAGGTTTTAACCACCACCAAATACACATTGATCTGTTACATTTTGACCAAAAATTGAATTTTGTACCAATAAATAACAACACGACCTGAAGAAAAATAGATAGAAAAGTGTCACTTCAGTATTCTGTCCTACATTCTAATTCCGATACGTAACCATGAAGGTTGCAATTACCAGTCTTCGGGTTATATAGGATTATTGTTCTAGACACTACTGAGCAATATTGAATCGCTGGATAGATATGCATGTCTACTAGGACAATATGTAAAGCAAACACTAATGGTGAAATTGGTTACTACTGTTTGTGATAGCTTGAGAGGTATAATATCAATCGAAACAGAAACTGCATCACAGTTTGAAATTGAGATTTGTTGGTATGGTTTGCTATGATTCGATTTGTATGCACACTTGTTGTGACAGAATGTAAATCAGGTATACTAAATAAGATTTGTGAGAATTTTTGGCAATCGCTTGATACGTATGCATACAATCGGAATGGCAAGTAAAGTGTATACCGATAAGAACTTTCTGTATCATGGTTGAATACTAAATAGGAGTCGATACCTGTCAGGAAAATTTCGAATCAGTAATTAGCAGTGAACTTGGTTGATATCATTAATAATTGGTTCATACTTACTAAACGACCTCGCGCACCTCGACCCTGAGGTCCCCTTCTCTCCCACCTATGTGTATATCTAGGCACCTCCAGTAATTAGTTAATTTTGTGTTTGCCGTCTCATGTTCTGTTTTCCCGGCCATGTCACATAAATGCCTAAATCTTGTTCTGGAGATCAATTTCCGATTTTCAATGCCAGGTCCAGTGCCAGCTCTAATGCCCACTCCGGTGCGAGCTAAAATCAAGGTCAACCCCAGTGTCAGCTTCGGTCTCGACTCAAATATATTCCAGCTCTAGCCGGAGCCGCCCGAATGCCATCTCTAATGCCCACTCCAGTCCAGCTCCATTAGATGCCGGCTCCAGTGCCAGCTCAGATACATGCCAGCTCCAGTGCCCGCTTCGCTTCCAGCTCCAGTACCAGCTCTGATGCCGCTCCGGTGGCAGCTCCGGTACCCGCTCAGTACCCGCTCGGTGCCAGCTCCGGCCACTCCGGTGCCAGCTCTAACCCTCACTCCTGTGCCCGCTCTTGTGCCCACCCCTGTTCCCGCTCATGTTCCTGCTCGTCTTCCCGCTCTTGTGTCCGCTCCGGTGACCGCTCGAGTGACTACTCCGGCGTTCGCCTCGATGACCAGCTCCTGTGCCAGCTCCAATGCCAGCTCCAGTGCAGCTCTGATATATTCCAGCTCCCTTCACCATTCCTCCACCCACTGGCACCTCCTCTTCCGCTCTTACTGGTCTTCCCTCTCCCTCTTCGCACTCCCGCCAACTACTGTTAGTCTCTCTCGCCTATTCTGCTCATATTTGACTACTAAATAGCTATATTTATTATTTAATCATAAAGGTCCGTTGGTTGGGCTGGTCTCATAGGTAAGGTCAGGGTTAGGGTTTGGGCTTGGCAGGAAAATGTGCAGGGTAACGGCCCTGAGCAGGCAGGGTAACGCCCAAAAAAGGTAGGGTAACGCACAAAAAATGTAGGGTTACGCACAAAAAAGGTAGGATAACGGCTCAGAGCAGGCAGGGCAACCGCACTAATCGGGTAGAGTAACCATCTCAAAATAGGCAGGGTAACAGAACAAAATCGGGCAGGGTAACTGCACCAAACACACGAATTTGATGTGTCGTGCTTACAAAACACCCCTGTCACTGTCAACCAATCAGATTATAGCAATCTCAGAAGAATTATATTCCGGTACATATTAGATACATTCTCATCAGAACAGCAATTTAACAGTTATTGACGAACAAAACCTTTTGTATTATTTACAATCCTTTGATGGGTATGTATCAGGACAGCGAGTATATCAGAAATTCAAATTCTCATTTGTCACAATCGTTCATGAAGGTTTGAAAGCTATGAATATTTATTGGCACAGTAAAATACTGAAATTGATACTCAATGTATTTGATGGCTTGATTGGTATACCATGTTCTGGATCAATATTGAATAGATTGAATACTGCACTACGGTTTGCAAAATATCTTCTCCCAAAACACGAGGTTGCGGCTTTCCAATCCATTCGGAAATATATACAATCTATGCTCATATTCTGAACTTGAGAGTGAACAATATTCAGCACTTATCTCTAAAACTCATTGTTTTAATTGATAACAGTCTTTATAACATGTATCCTGATATTTTGTATTTTGTAAAAGGGTAGGAATTTGACGATGTCCGTAAGATAATATCTGTTCCACCTCACCTACCTAGTAACAGTATGCGCCCAAATTCCCCAAGCCTTTAGAATTAGGATTATGAATGCTTTTGATTGAGAATATCATATTCGAGCTGACTGGCGATCAGTATAGCACTCAATTGCTTGAATGTTCTCAGTGTAACCCAATTCAGATCCCAAAACCTTGTCCGATTTCATAGATCGATTGAATAATGTAGTAGGTTACAAAGGGTCGAATTGATCAGAAAAATTCTATGGATTTCTAGAAGTTTCCGTCGATTTTAAGGGTATGAGTTACTTGAGATTTGTGATTGCTAAGCTTTCTTTATGTATATTAAGGGGCTTTGCCCTCGATTCTATTCTTTTTCTCTCTCTTTTCTTCTCTTTCTTTTGGTACGCAAAGGCTTAGGTAATCTACGCTGGCTATTGCTATTCAAGTACTATTTTCTCTTCCTTTATAAGGAGGCCATCTCACTTCTCCGACCTTCCCACCGCTAGACCTAAACTACTGTAAGTTTCTCCAACCCCTCTCACTCATTAACCTACCAGCCCCTATGACCATCTCCCGTACCCTGCGGAATACTCGCTACCCAACTCCCTAGGATTACGTTGCGTCGTAATCCGCACCAGACGCCATGTCCACCCTCAACCGACCTACATGGGTCTCATCTAACAAAATCGAGTAGTTTAACCATCAATACGAATAGAATACTGCTGCCCTGTTTGACCACCTCCCTACTATGTTTTAAAGCATCCGACACGAGAGGGATAGTGCTCGTACACTGCTCTCTGCCGTCCACAAAACCATTGGCTACCTGGAAGAGCAAGTAATACAGGTCAACCTTGACCTCAATGTTGACCACATCACCTCCGCCCCCAATGTTCCTATCCCCATTTTCGCTGCTACTGCATCAACCACTGTCTCCACCTTTGGGTCTGAAACTTTCCCTGAAAAGTTTGATCGCATCCGGACCAAAATCTCCGGATTCGTTACCCAACTCCGAATAAAGCACGAAGTCAACCATAATCGGTTCCGCAATGGGACAGCAAAGGTTATCCATGCGGTCAGCTGTTTGGAGGGAAGAGCTCTTGATCAGGTAATACAACTTGTTAGCGCCAATCCTGCTGACTTCTTTTCCTCCGTCACCTTCTTTGTCGCCCACATGAAAGGCTCATTTAGAGACCTAAATACCCAAAGTACCATCCACCGCCAACTCGTCCCCCTGAGGCAAGGCAAAGGAGACTTTGCCACCTACTACTCGCAGTTCATCAGAAACATGTCCCACTTGCATTACAATAAAGGGGTCAAGATTGACGAATTGGCGGAAAGATTGTCTGACAACTTTAGAGACGTCATGACCTATCGAACAGACAGACCCAATATGGTGGAAGCATATGCGACCATGTCAGTGACGATCGATAAAAACATGTGACTGAGGTACTACGATGAGGCACAACCGTGATTTGGTTTCGAATAGTGTAAATAAAGAGAGCGAGTTTTGATGATACTCGTTCAGAAAGAAAAAAGGGAGTTTGTATGTTTGAACGTTCTCAAGTCTAGAAAATTATAACTTTAAGGGGTCTTCTCTCTATTAAAGATCCGTTGATGATGAGAGGCCAACCTGCGGCAACACCGAGTCCCTTATAGGAATACGGCGCATTTGCTCAAGTTCTTTTTCCGGCTGACAGTCTGCCTATTGATAGTCAGGGGTACAGCAACTATTTTCTATCAGGGGAGAGGAGAGTAAGTACGACACCTTGGATGAACTTCTGTCCGAGTCAAATCATTCAATTTGCCGAAATCTGTGGTTGGAATCTCAAGAACTATTGGAAACAGCCGACCAGATAATAGTTGTTTATTCTAACTTTATTAGAACCGATTTGGGTGTTTGTAAACCGAAGTTTTGCTTTAGTAGCTTGAGTCGCACTCCCACTCCCCAAAGATACTCTGGAGCAAAACAGGAGCATTCCGGCAGTTTGACACTGCGGAGGTTAGTGTTGGGGATTAAAACGTGTTTTTGGAATTAGATTTTCCATTAACTCCGGGACACCGCCAGAATCATTTCTGTCGTGCTAAAGCATGGTCTTTCGGCATCGGTTGGAGATATATGAAACCTGAAAGATTCGACTGCCTAGGTAGGGAACTGCCGTCCGGGGTTCCCTGTGCTATCAGCCATCTTTGTACTTCTGTTCCAGGCTTACTCGGCCCCCTATTTTTGATTTGTAAGACTTCTTACTCATTGAGATCACTGTCCTCTATACCAATAAAGGTAGGAGCCTAACTGCCCTAATCTTCACGCGTCGATGAAGAACAAGCTGCTGTTACTTTGGGTCGGTGGCTTAACTGATGGAATAGGTTCTTTTGTAACAGCCTGATAGTGGCACTGTTACATTACTCCCCTCTATTGTGGAGTCGTTTTGAGTCCACTGTAGTGTTACTGGAATATTAGTATTTGGCATAAAAGAAAAACTGTAGCTCTATTGGTGATTACGTACAAATTACATCTCTGTTTCTATTTCCATCAGAGAAAGAAAACTCTAACATGAAATGCCTTTTAAAAACAAAGAAAATGACATATTCTCCACTCTTGTCATAGAACCTTTCGTCCCACTAGTGGAGATTTCGAGGTTAGCAAGAATCTCTCTTTTTCCCTTGTCTTTTTTATGCGGGTTTCCTCACGCTTCGGTTTTCTATCGTTTCTTGCATTGTTTTCAGGGAAAAATGGTATCCGAACTCTGTCAGACCGATGAAAAACCTGGTACAGGAGAGTTGGTTTTTGTTCCCGGATTTCTTCTGGGATACAGAGCTACTCACGCCGTGTTTTGAGGATCCATAAAGTTTCCCCGTATTTTCCGATGTTTTTGCGGGTATTTTTGATGAAATACTTTCAGGGCCTCATCGGCTCTTCCTTGCAGAATTTCATATGGTTCCCAGGAGTCTTCCGAACGATAGCCCTCCCAAACAATGCGATACTCTACAAACACTTTCGAATGCCTAGCATATTGCCATCTGCTATTAGCTATTTGTCGGAGAACGTGACTGTATTCTCCTTCGACCTCATCTGGAGTAGGAGGGACTTCAGTGCATCGAGGGTATTTCAGTCCCAAATAGGACTCCAGCAGAAATATTTGGAAGACGGCATGAATGTTCCATTAAGAGGGAAGCTTCAGCGTGTAGAACGCAACAACAAGTTTCTCATCAACCTCAAAGAGACATAGTTTCTTGTAGTCAAGCTTGCTTGAGGGTCGATTGGCAACCATATTGCGTCGGTCCATCATCACCTTATCCCCATCTTCAGGTTGTGGAGGTTTCATATGCTTCTGGTCATACCATTTCTTCTGCCGGGCCTGTGCCTTAAAAATATCTGTCCTCATAGTTTTCCAAAGAGCTTTCCACTTGAACTTTGGTACGGGACTGGAAACATTGGCATTGTCCAGCTTCCTTCTGCGCGAATGCCAATCGGAATCAGGCTCGAACCCATAGTTCGCGTAGAACTGAGATACTTTAATGGACTATTGGGTTGCCGTTTTGTAGGCGTACTGTGCAAGCGGCAGTAACCCTGCCCAATCGTCCTACTGGTAGGACCAAAAGTTTCTGAAATATTGCTCTAGCGTTTGATTGACCCTCTCAGTTCACCTGTCAGCTTGGGGACGATATGCCGTAGACAGACAAAGGTTGACTCCGAGAAGCTTGATCAATGAATGCCAGAACTTGCTTTCGAATCTGAAGTCCCGATCAGAAATGAATAATTCGGATAGTCCATGTAGTCGGCATATTTCTTGAAGGAATATCTGCGAAAGTTCCTTGATTGTTGCCTCGGTCTTGAGCGGTATGAAGTAGGTGATTTTTGTAAAGCGTTCAACAATAACCCCGATACGGGTATAGGCTTCAGATTCTGGCAAACTAACGAAAAAGTCCATAGAGATGGAGCTGCAAGGAGTATTGAGGACCTCTGAATATGGTAGCATCCTGTACTTTTCATGACTGGAGCTTTTATTGCTTTGACCTGTATCGCAACTCCACACATATTCTCCCATATCATTGTCCATCTTTGGGCAAAAGAACAGTGCCCGAAGATGCTCTGCAGTTTTGAATTGACCCAAGTGGCTTGCGGGCTTCGAATCATGTAGGGCGCTAATGATTTTTTGTTTGAGCTCTCGGTGATTTGGGATGTAGCATATTTTCTTCTAAAAGACATCACCGTGTCTCAAAGTTAGGTTTCGGTCTACTGTCTTACCGAAGGTGTGATCCACAGCCTCTTCCGAGGAGAATTACTTAGGGTCTGAAGCTGAATGAGGCCGGATTTTATCCAGAAGCACCGGTGTGAGTTTGCAGACCTGAGGTGACTTTGGGCGTTAAGATTTGATCGTAACGGTTGGTGATTGTACAGAAACCATTTTGCTAGAGCAACTTAGGACAAGATTGTTCGGTTGGGCGAGAACCGTACCCGTACAATTCCCGATTCCGTTGCTATACGTTGGCCAAAACGAATAGAATTCATCAGCATCGTCAGGTATGTGGGTAAAAGGCAACATTATTGTGATATCTGGAGTGGAGGTAGTGGGTGGGGGCTGTTGATTGTTAGCTTGGGTAACCTATTGCTAGGGGTAGATAGGGTTAACTGGAATGACAGGCCAAATACGGGTTACAGGCCAAATCAGGGTTAACTAGGGTTAGCTAGGGTTAACTAGGGTTACGGGCCGAACTAGGGTTAACTAGGGTTAGCTAGGGTTACGGGCCGAACTAGGGTTAACTAGGGTTAGCTAGGGTTACGGGCCGAACTAGGGTTAACTAGGGTTAGCTAGGGTTACGGGCCGAACTAGGGTTAACTAGGGTTAACTAGGGTTACGGGCCGAACTAGGGTTAACTAGGGTTAGCTAGGGTTAGCTAGGGTTACGGGCCGAACTAGGGTTAACTAGGGTTAACTCTAGTAGTCGAATGTCGGACAGGATTTTGAGGTTGCCCGGGAACCGTCGCCCCACAATTCCGGGCTCCGTGGCTATGGGTCGAACAGGACGACCCGAGTCCATTCCCATCATCAGGTATGCGCGTACAGGGGGTCGTGGTCGTGATTGCGGGGGCGGAGGTGGTGGGTGGGGGCCGTTGAGTAGGGTAACTCACTGTGAGTCTTGGCGACCCGTCCTGGTTCACTCCATCACCGAGACTCACAACAATCGACAACTGCACCGTACCGAGCGTGCATTCTCTATCCTATAATCATGACAGCGTTCAAAACTGAATCATCCCGTGTTTCCCCATCTTGCGGTTCGATGAAATACACGCATTTAGGATTCTGAACCCCGGGTTACCGCATTGGGCGAATACCACTTCGACGCTCGTAACCCTAACCGCCAACAGCCAGGTACAAACCACCACCAAATACAGATTTATGTATTTCATTTCTGCCGAAAATTCTATTTTGCACACCTAACCGAACCAGATGGCAATGCTCGTAACCCTAACCGCCAACAGCCAGGTTTAAACCACCTCGTAATACAGATTCATGCATTTCATTTTGACCGAAAACCGTATTCTCTAACCCTAACCAAAATCCCACTTCAAGGCTCGTAACCCTAACTACCCACATCCAGGTTCCAACCACCACCAAATACACATTCAAGTATTTCATTTTGACCGAGGATTGTATTTTGTACACGTAAGCAAACCAACTTTCAACGCTCGTAACCCTAACTACCCACATCCAGGTTTCAACCACCACCAAATACACATTGTATTTCATTTTGACCGAGGATTGTATGTTGTACACGTAACCAATTCAGATTTGAACGCTCATAACCCTAACTACCCACATCCAGGTTCCAACCACCACCAAATACACATTCAAGTGTTTCATTTTGACCGAGGATTGTATTTTGTACACGTAAGCAAACCAACTTTAAACGCTCGTAACCCTAACTACCCACATCCAGGTTTCGACCATCACCAAATACACTGTATTTCATTCTGACCGAACATTGTATTTTGTACATGTAACCAATTCAGATTTGAACGCTCATAACCCTAACTACCCACATCCAGGTTCCAACCACCACCAAATACACATTCGTTTCATTTTGACCGAGGATTGTATTTTGTACACGTAAGCAAACCAACTTTCAAGGCTCGTAACCATAACTACCCACATCCAGGTTTCAACCACCACCAAATACACTGTATTTCATTCTGACCGAACATTGTATTTTGTACATGTAACCAATTCAGATTTGAACGCTCATAACTTCAACTACCCATATTCAGGTTTCAACCACCACCAAATACACATTCAAGTATTTCATTTTGACAGAAGATTGTATTTTGTGCACGTAACCAAACCAACTTTCAACGCTCCTAACCCTAACTACTCACATCCAGGTTTCGACCACCACCAAATACACTGTATTTCATTTTGACCGAACATTGTATTTTGTACCAATAGAATAACAACGACCTGAAGAAAGATAGATAGAAAAGTGTCACTTCAGTATTCTGTCCTACATTCTAATTCCGATACGTAACCATGAAGGTTGCAATTACCAGTCTTCGGGTTATATAGGATTATTGTTCTAGACACTACTGAGCAATATTGAATCGCTGGATAGATATGCATATCTACTAGGACAATATGTAAAGCAAACACTAAAGGTGAAATTGGTTACTACTGTTTGTGACAGCTTGAGAGGTATAATATCAATCGAAACAGAAACTGCATCACAGTTTGAAATTGAGATTTGTTGGTATGGTTTGCTATGATTCGATTTGTATGCACACTTGTTGTGACAGAATGTAAATTAGGAATACTAAATAAGATTTGTGAGAATTTTTGGCAATCGCTTGATACGTATGCATACAAATCGGAATGGCAAGTAAAGTGTATACCGATAAGAAACGCTTTCTGTATGATGGTTGAATACTAAATAGGAGTCGATACCTGTCAGGAAAATATTCGAATCAGTAATTAGCAGTGAACTTGGTTGATATCATTAATAATTGGTTCATACTTACTAGAGGTGCACCACCTCGCGACCACGAGGTCCCCTTCTCTCCCACCTATGTGTAGTATCTAGGCACCTCCAGTAATTAGTTAATTTTGTCTTTGCCGTCTCATGTTCTGTTTTCCCGGCCATGTCACATAAATGCCTAAATTTTGCTCTGGAGATCTATTTCCGATTTTCAATGCCAGCTCCAGTGCGAGTTAAAATTAAGGTCAGCCCCACTGTCAGCTTCGGTGTCGGCTCAAATATATATCAGCTCTAGCTGGAGCTGCCCGAATACCATCTTTAATGCCCACTCCAGTGCCAGCTCCATTAGATACCGGCTCCAGTGCCAGCTCAGATACATGCCAGCTCCAGTGTCCACTTCTCTGCAAGCTCCAGTGCCCGCTTCGCTTCCAGCTCCAGTACCAGCTCTGATGCCGCTCCGGTGGCAGCTCCGGTACCCGCTCCAGTATCCGCTCCGGTGCCAGCTACGGTGCCAGCTCTAACCCTCACTCCTGTGCCCGCTCTTGTGCCCACCCCTGTTCCCGCTCATGTTCCTGCTCGTCTTCCCGCTCTTGTGTCCGCTCCGGTGACCGCTCGAGTGACTACTCCGGCGTTCGCCTCGATGCCAGCTCCTGTGCCAGCTCCAATGCCAGCTCCAGTGCCAGCTCTGATATATTCCAGCTTCCTTCACCGTTCCTCCACCACACTGGCACCTCCTCTTCCCCTCTTACTGGTCTTCTCTCTCCCTCTTCGCACTCCCCGCCAACTACTGTTCATCTCTCTCGCCTATTCTGCTCATATTTGACTACTAAATAGCTATATTTATTATTTAATCATAAAGGGTTCCGTTGGTTGGGCTGGTCTCATAGGTAAGGTCAGGGTTAGGGTTTGGGCTTGGCAGGAAAATAGGCAGGGTAACGGCCCTGAGCAGGCAGGGTAACGCCCAAAAAAGGTAGTGTAACGCCCAAAAAAGGTAGGGTTACGCACAAAAAAGGTAGGGTAACGGCTCAGAGCAGGCAGAGCAACCGCACTAATCGGGTAGGGTAACCATCTCAAAATAGGCAGGGTAACAGAACAAAATCGGGCAGGGTAACTGCACCAAACACACGAATTTGATGTGTCGTGCTTACAAAACACCCCTGTCACTGTCAACCAATCAGATTATAGCAATCTCAGAAGAATTATATTCCGGTACATATTAGATACATTCTCATCAGAACAGCAAATTTAACAGTTATTGACGAACAAAACCTTTTGTATTATTTACAATCCTTTGATGGGTATGTATCAGGACAGCGAGTATATCAGAAATTCAAATTCTCATTTGTTACAATCGTTCATGAAGGTTTGAAAGCTATGAATATTTATTGGCACAGTAAAATACTGAAATTGATACTCAATGTATTTGATGGCTTGATTGGTATACCAGGTTCTGGATCAATATTGAATAGATTGAATACTGCACTACGGTTTGCAAAATATCTTCTCCCAAAACACGAGGTTGCGGCTTTCCAATC